GAAGCTCTAATGAAGCTGAAATGAGCATCCCATCAAAGTCCATTTGTTTGTTATGTTTCATGCGTGGCATATGTGAGCGAGTGGTGTATCGTGGGGTGTTTTTGTGGGGGTGGATAGTTTGACTAGTCAAGGGGGTGCTGTTGAATTTCGTGCTGGTCAAGCACACAAAATCTTGACCGCGCGTGTGGCCCCGATTTCGCGTGTGGGCCCTCAGGGCTCGAGCGTGTGCTTGCGCACTGTTGCGAGCGTGGCAGGGCCCACGATCGCAACAGGACAGGGCGAATGATCGCCCTGCCCACGCGCAGTACAGCGCACGTTTTTGCGCTGTACAGCACGACCAGTTTGCCTGGTCGTGCATGATTGCGCACGTGAGGGGTGCGCGTGTGTTTCGAGTGGGTGCTGCGGGATTCCGAAGGGTGCTCGGAAATTACAGTTGAAAAGCTGTATTCAGAGTTGACTCACGGAACAAGAAATTGCGCACGAAAGTCACACCGCTTTGCGGAATGATTTCGACGCAGGTAGAAAACGGTTGTTCCGTTTTCTTAAAGCCCGAGGTCAGCATGGTTTTGGGGAAAAATACTGAATGGCTTTAACTGTGTTGGCGAGAGTAGAAAAACCAAGCGAGAGCGAAATCAGCCCCATGCCTGATGTACTGCACAAGTAGCGCAGCACCCTCTTAGCAGCCTCCCAGTGCTCTCGCCTGTGTCTCCCAGGCGCAACGTAACGAGCAAGGATGCTAAGAGGGTACGCGAGGTCAGGTCGCGTGCAAGTCATCAGGTACATGAGGCAGCCCACAAGCTCTGGGTACGGGCCACTCGGCTCTACGGACTCGTCCGGAGGTGGAGCTGAGAGCGAGTGGCTGGTAGCCAGAGGTGTGGCCTGTGGTGAGGAGAACTGGAAGCCGAAGCGCTGAAGGACCTGCTGCACCATGTGTGACTGAGTCAGGGTGATGGTGCGGCGAGCTCTGTCCCGGGTGATCTGCAAGCCAAGGTAGCTACGCAGCTCACCCAGGTCAGTGCAGGTGTGTCTCTTCTGCAGCTCCGACTTCACACGAGCGAGTGCCTCAGTGTCAGCAGTAGCAAAGACCAAGTCGTCGACGTACACGAGAATGTAGAACGGCGGCAGCGACGTGTCTGTGCGCAGAAACAGCGACGGGTCAGCAGTAGACGGCGCGAACCCAAGAGCCGCAAGTGTAGTCCTCAGTGTGTCGTGCCACTCGCGTGGCGCCTGGCGGAGACCGTAGACTGGCCGGCGGAGGCTCCACTGGGTACCAGGAGGAAACGACCCAGTAAAGCCAGGTGGGCGGCGCAGCCAGATCTCCTCGTGCAGGCTGCCCTGCAGGAACGCTGTGCTGAAGTCAAGAGAGTGAAGCTCGTAGTCACGCTGAGCAGCAACGTGCAGCAGAACCCGAAGAGTGGTCATCTTCGGGGTGGGGGAGAAGGTCTGGAAGAAGTCGACCCCCTGACGCTGACTGAAGCCTCTAGCAACGTAACGAGCCTTGAAGACAGGCGGAGAACCTGGCGGCCGCTTCACCCTGAAAATCCACATGCCATCGACGATGTTCGCCCCAGGAGGGGGAACCTCGTCGACGTAGGTGCCTGTGGACTTCCAGGATGCCATCTCTGCGTCCATGGCTGTCTGCCACTGAGAGGAGTAGGGACCCGAGATCGCCTCTGCGTAAGTGCGCGGAGTGGGGATGTCTAGTGCATCCGGGTCTCCCTCAGGGGCAAGCAACCAGGCCACGAGATGAGGTACAGCAGCCGCGAGAGAGTCAAAGTCCTCCTGCCTGTCCTCAAGGACGTCCGTGCCAAGAGCACACTCACCCCCGACGGACGGAGGACAGACTGACGCAGACTCAGACCCAGCAACAAGGCGAGCAGCGTAGTCTAGACGACAGGCAGCAGCAAAGTCAACCAACTCAGCGACCAGAGCAGACGCAGCTGAGGACTCAAAGGTAGGGTCAGTGACAACAGTGGCTAGGAGACGCGTGACAGTAGGGTGCTCAGCACGAAACCGGTCAGACTCAGGGTCCGGAACAGCAGGCAAAGAGGACGCAGGAGGAGACGGCAGAGGGACACGCTGAGGAGCAGTAGAGGGACGCAGAGTCATGTAGTGAGTGCCTGGGACAGGAGGAGGACGCTCACGACGGACACGACGACCAGTGCGAGCAGTACGGACAGGCGACGCAGGACGAGACTCAGGCTCACGACGCTCTGTAAGACCTCCTGTGGGACCAGTGTAAGGAGAGGGAGCAGGGAGAGGCGAGGCAAGCGGTAACTGTGACTGCGGCTGGACAGTCGGAGGACACTCTACGGAGGGAGGAGGACAAGGAGGAGGAGCCTGCCCAAGAACCTGCTGAAGGAGCGGTACGAAGTACGGCCGCGGCCGCGCAGCGTCTCCAGAAGCAGAAGAGACTCCAGCGTCCGGGTCCCCAGCACCAGCAGCAGCGCCACCGCTCGGGTCCTCAGCTCCAGCAGCAGCTCCACCAGGTGGGTCCGCAGCACCAGCAGCAGCAGCACCCCCAGGGTCGGCAGCTACAACTCCGCTAGCGCCGCCAGCTCCAGAGTCCCCAGCTCCAGCAGCTCCAGTCGTAGTGCGCCCAGAACAACCAGTCCCGGCAGCTCCAGTACCCCCAGCTCCAGCCGAGCCACTAGGACGGCGAAAGCGCCGGACGTACCAGTCACGAAGCTGCTGTGGTGTGAGAGACTGCTCAGCACCCCGAACCGGAGCACCCCCAGACGCAGCAACCCGAGGCTCCGTAGGCTCAGTAGCAGTACCCCCAGGCTCAGTACCCGCAGGCGCAGCACCCCCAGACTCAGCACCCCCAGACTCCGCACACGCCGGCTCAGGACCCCCAGTCGCAGCACCCCCAGGCTCAGTACCCCCAGGCGCCGAACTCTCAGGCACAGTACCCTCAGCTCCAGCACCCGTAGTCCCAGCACCCCCAGGCCCAGCACCCTCAGGCTCAGCACTCCCAGCAGCACCACCTGCAGCAGCACCTGAGTCACCTGTGACCTCGACAGGCTCAGCGACGGGAGGAGGGTCTACCTGAGAGACACCTGAAGGAGCAGGACCCTGAGGGGGAAGGGGGTCTACCGGAGGGGGACCAGGAGCAAGGAAAAGCGGCGGGGGAGGGAGGGGGGCAGTACGGTAGGGGAAGAGACGGTAAAAAGGGACCGACTCGTCAAAGGTGACGTCCTGAGAGGCGAAGACCCGGCGCGAGGTGGGGTGGTAAAACTGCCAGCCCGGCGCGTCAGGGACAAAGCCAAGGAAGACACAGGGAAGCGTGCGGGAGGAGAGCTTGTCCGCGGACGTATCTGTTAGAATGAGAAGAGTATATGTGGGATTAGGTGGAGGTTGGGGTACAAGACTAGAGTGTCGAGTGAGTTTGTGTACCCCTTAAGGCTAGCCCCAATATAGCCTAGATACTAACATGCATATGTTTTGACACACCCCCATAGGCGAAATGGGGGATAGCCAGAGCAAGCAATGGTCACAAGACCAGTCAAGAGAAGAAACAAAACACGGCTCAGGGTGGATCACAACGTCACCACACACACTGAGCACAAACAAACGGCCACAAGGCCAGTCCACATGTAGAGGTATATAAGCAGCAAGAACAGCACAGTGATCTCTACCTAGCAATGCAAACATGCACGTATATATATATATATATATATATATAGATCACAGTACAAGCAAGGCCTACAGCAAGTGAGGAAATGTGGGCACAAGCCCTAGCAAAGTGCAGAAACGCTGATGATCACCAGACGGAAGCGCCTTAGTGAATATATCAGCAGTGTTGGCCCGAGTGGCCACGTGACGCAGACGAAGCTGACCACGCTGCTGCAGCTCTCGAGCCAGGAAGTAACGCAGAGCGATGTGCTTTGTTCTGTGCTCCAGTCTGTGCTCCTCACACAAGGCAATGGCGGCCTTGTTGTCGACGTACAGCACTGGAGGAGAACGAGGCTGCTCTCCCAAGTCAGTCAGCAGGTAGGTGAGCCAGCGTAACTCCAGTGCAGCCATGGCTGTGGCGTAGATCTCAGCCTCACAACTGGAGCTGAGAACTGAAGACGAGCGTGTAGAACGCCACGAAACTGAACCAGAGCCAAGGCTGAAGGTGTAACCCTGTGACGACCGCTGAGTAGCCTGGTCGTCAACCCAAGAAGCGTCTGAGTGCCCAGTGAGAACAACTGGGCTCGTCCCTCCAAGCACTAGCCCCATGCCTGATGTGCTGCACAAGTAGCGCAGTACCCTCTTAGCAGCAGCCATGTGCTCAGGTCGGTGCCGACCAGGAGCCACGTAGCGAGCCAGAAGACCAAGAGGGTACGCGAGGTCAGGACGAGTGCAAGTCATCAGGTACATGAGGCAGCCAACTAACTCTGGGTAAGGACCACTCGGCTCTACGGACTCGTCCGAAGGTGGAGCTGAGAGCGAATGACCTGTAGCCAGAGGAGTGGCCTGTGCTGAGGACCAGGTGAAGCCGAAGCGCTGAAGGACCTGCTGCACCATGTGTGACTGAGTCAGGGTGATGGTGCGGCGTGCTCTGTCCCGGGTGATCTGCAAGCCAAGGTAGCTGCGCAGCTCACCCAAGTCTGTGCACGTGTGTCTCTTCTGCAGCTCCGACTTCACGTGGGCGAGAGCCTCAGTGTCCGCAGTGGCAAACACCAAGTCGTCGACGTACACGAGGATGTAGAACGGCGGCAGTGAAGTGTCGGTGCGCAGAAACAGCGACGGGTCAGCTGTGGAGGGAGCAAACCCAAGTGCCGCAAGTGTAGTCCTCAGTGTGTCGTGCCACTCACGAGGCGCCTGGCGGAGACCGTAGACTGGCCGCCGGAGGCTCCACTGGGTACCAGGAGGGAACGACCCAGTGAAGCCCAGGGGGCGGCGCAGCCAGATCTCCTCGTGCAGGCTGCCCTGCAAGAAAGCTGTGCTGAAGTCAAGAGAGTGAAGCTCGTAGTCACGGTGAGCGGCAACGTGCAGCAGCACCCGAAGAGTGGTCAGCAGCACCCAAGGGCACGAGCACCCCACACCCGGAAGCGCGACGCATCGCCAACCTCCCCCGTCCAACGCAGTGTGGGCGAGGTCTCCGGCAAGGAGACACGGGGCCAGAGGTTGAGCTGATGCGCGGCGTACCGGACAGCAAACGGCCACAGAAAATGGGGAGCCGCCGCGTGGACCAAGGAGGTACGAGCGACCTCCATGACCAGGCCAATGCGGCGCTCAGCAACCCCATTCTGCTGTGGGGAGTCCGGAAGCGTGAAGGTCTGCTCGATGCCCTCCGCCTGACAGAAGGTCCTCAAGAGGTCGGAGGAAAACTCACCACCTCTGTCAGAGTGCAGACGCAGGACAGGAAGATCCGTCCGGAAACGGCGGTGGAGCTGGAGACGAACTGTGCGGATCCAAGGGATCAGAACAGCAGGGACCTCACCCTTGGTGCGCAAGGGGAAGACCGTGGTGTAACGCGAGTAGTCGTCGACAACCAGCAAAAAGTACCGCTCACCGCCCTGACCACGAACGCGGGCTGGGCCCCACACGTCCAGGTGGAGGGTCTGCAGAGGAGCCTCTGTCGGGGGGAACGAGGAGGAGTGAGGAGCGGCGCGCTGCCGCCCCTCGACGCAAGGAAGGCAAGGCGGCGCAGGAGAGGCAGGGAGGGGAGGGAGGGACCTGGGAAGACCAGACACAAGGTGGCGACGGTGCATGCCACGGAGGCGTGGCAAGGAGGGGTGACCCAGGCGGTGGTGCCAGAGAAGAGTCTGGTGCGACAGGGAACGACACTCACAGGCGTGGGCTACCAGACCTGACGCGGACACCTGACCGACAGCAGCGACCTGAGGAGACGCAGTGGACAGTGTGTAGAGACTCGACCCCGGCCGACGAGTAAACGTAGCCAGGTGACGGCCGGTCCTGGAGCACGTGCAGATCGCCACACGCTGTCCTCCAGGGGTAAAGGTGTCAACCCACTGATCCTGGAGGACAGCGTTGCTCACCAGGTTCGTCGAGAACGAGGGGAGGTGGAAACCCGTCAACGAGCCAGACGGAACCGCCGGACAAGGGAGCACAGTGGTGGACCGGGCAAGGACCGGGCCCCCAGAGGGGTCAGCCAAGGAGACTGGGACCGGTGCAGGAAGCGGTGTGAGCTCAGTACTGTCTCGAAAGAAGCAGCGGGAAGCACCTGAGTCAAGGGTGAAGGTGTGACAGGGCTCAGTCGGTGCAGTACCTGAGAGAGCAGTCTCTGTGGGTGCTGTACCTGAGAGAGCAGACTCGCAAGCAGCAGGGACAGTGCTGGAGGGAGCAGGTACAGGGGGCACCATACCAGAGAGAGCAGACTCACTAGTACCTAGGGCAGCGGGCTCTATACCTGGGTCAGGCGGCACACACAGGTAACAGTCTCCCTCGGCACTAACAGTCAATGCATACATGGCAGCAATAATAGCATCATAGTCAAGAGCAAAGATATCAACCCCAGCCCTCATCAGCTCAGCCCAGCGAGGGCGCTCAACATCCTCGCCCATCTCCTCACGCCAAGCGTCGTCAAGGCGGAAGAAGCAGCGGTACGGGGTGTGAAACCTCCCACACGTCTGTCCCTTGCGATCACCTGTGCGAATGACATAGGAACAGCGGCCACTGCCCCCCGACGTCCCACGCTGAGCAAGCCACTCACGAAGCTGCTGGGTCGACTGGGGACGCTGCTGCTGCTGGGAGCTCTGGCCCGAGCCGGTGCCTCCACTCCGACCTCCACCGCCGCCACTACCTCCGCTCCGACCGCCACCACCGCCACCGCCACCGCCACTACCGCCACCGCCGCCACTGCCGCCGCTGCCACCACCGCCACTGCTCCCGCCGCCGCCCCCGCCTCCGCCGCCGGCCCCACTCCCACCGGCACTCCCGCCACCGCTCCCTCCAGCACCGCCTCCCCCCCCACCTCCCCCACCCCCTCCCCCCCCAGCGCCACCCCCGCCACCCTTGCCCCCCTTGCCCTTGCCGGTGCGGCGCCTCCCACCAGGAGCAGAAGCAGCGCCAGCAGACTCAGCACCAAGGAAGTCAACAGCAGCAGCAGTAGCGTAGGAGGGAGCGAGGGGAGAGGGAGAACACCCCTCAAAGATGGGGGTGCGAGGAGCGCCGCGAGCAGCACCTACAGCTACAATGCTCTTCTCGGCTGCTAGCAGCTTCTCCTCTAGGAGGGCGACAGTGAGCTCAGTGGGACAGCGAGCAAGGAAATAGTCGCGCACTGAGCTGAGGGTGTCAGGGAGACGGGTGACTATGAAGTGGAGTGCCCAGTACAGGGGAGGGGGGTTCTTAGCGCAGAACTCGGTGGGAAGGGCGGCACGCAGGCGAGCATCACTAGTGCGAAGGTGGGTGATAAGATCGGCGACTGTAGCAAAGGCGGACAGCTCAGGGAACAGGTAAGGCAGCATGAGACGGCTAAGCTCGGCTGTGGCAGGTGAGGAGTAGCGAGCAACGACAGCGTCATATAGGGCCTTAGCGGTTTTGCAGTCGCCAAAGTGCTCTAGCTCAGGTAACGGCAGGTGACTGCGAATAGCCAGGCGAGCTGCAGCGTCACGAGTCTGCCACTGTGAACGGACACTAAGCTCGGCTGTGGCAGCAGGAGCAGCGGCAGCACCAGACGCGTAGTCATAGAGGGAGATGTGGTCCGTGCTATTGCTCATAAGATACAACTGCAGGTCGTCGAGCCAGGAAGCGAACCGCACGGGACGGCCCTCAGCATCGAAGGAAAGAACGCGAATAGAGGCCATAGCTCAGGCGTGAGGGCACAGCAGAGCAGCGGCAGCAGCAGGCGAGGCGGGCAGCGCTGCAGGCGGGAAGTGCGGTGGGCGGGCTGCGAGGCGGGCAGCAAGGCGGGCGGGCGACGCGGCGAGCGGGCAGCGCGGCGGGCGGCTGCGAAGCGGGCAGCGGGCGGGCGGGCGACGCTGCAAGCGGGCAGCGGGCGGGCGGGCGACGCTGCAAGCGGGCAGCGGGCGGGCGGGCGACGCTGCAAGCGGGCAGCGAGGCGGGCGGGCGACGCTGCAAGCGGGCAGCGGGCGGGCGGGCGACGCTGCGAGCGGGCAGCGAGCGAGCGGGCGACGCTGCGAAGCGGGCAGCGGGCAGGCGGGCGACACTGCGAGCGGGCAGCAAGCGGGCGGGCGACGCGGCGAAGGAGGTAGCGGGCGGGCGGGCGGCGCTGCGAGCGGGCAGCGAAGCGGGCGGGCCGCGAAGCGGGCAGCGAGCGGGCGGGCGGGCTGCGAAGCGGGCAGCGGGGCGAGCGGGCTGCGAAGCGGGCAGCGGGGCGAGCGGGCGACGCTGCGAGCAGGCAGCGCGGCGGGCGAGGGGCGAGCGGGCAGCGTGGCGGACGGGCGACGCTGCGAGCGGGCGGCTCGGCGGGCGGGCGACGCTGCGAGGGGCGCGCGAGGGCGCTAGCGAGGGGCGCGCGAGGGCGCTAGCAAGGGGCGCGCGAGGGCGCTAACGAGAGGCGCGCGAGGGCGCTAACGAGGGTGCGCGAGGGCGCGCGAGGGCGCTAACGAGGGGCGCGCGAGGGCGCTAACGAGGGCGCACGAGGGCGCTACGAGGCTAGGGCACGGGGTAGCGTGGTAACCGCATGCGAGCGGTGGTGGGCCCTAAAAAAAAAAAAAACGGTCGGTAGGTCCTAGGGACCTCCTGCTCTGAATACCATGTCAGAATCACTAGGCAAGAATGAATGAACTAGCAGAAGTTTGGGTACAAATATGAAACCCTAGTTGGGGTTGTACCCCATATTGGCTACCCCACTACAGCCTACCAAAATATAACACATTACACTTTAACAATTCCTTCTCTTCCGCGCAGCGTTCCCCGCGTTCCGCGCGACTCCGGCCCATGGCCCTCCGCGTCCACCCCGCCTTGCCCCGGGAACCCACTCCCGCCCCTTGCCGAGTATGTCGCTAACGAGCGAACGAAATAGGGGTGTCGTCGCCGCTGAAACATTCACACGCAATGCGCGCTTCATCGCAAGCTGGAACGGTCTTCTTAACACGCGGTATAGGCCGTATTTGCTTCTGCCTTCTGGCCTCATTTCTTCTCCACTTGATTCCAACTCCTCATCCCCCCCGTTCTCTCCATTCTCTCGTCCGTCCCTCTCCCTGCCTCTCGTTACCTGCTTCCTCTCCCATGCAAAACAGGTTTACAACTGTTTGCTCATTGAAATTCATGAGTGCCAAATTGGAGCTACATTGAGTGCAGCCATTTGAGTCAGCAAGGTAATTGTCATATGTGGAACTTGAAGACAGGTATTTTCAAGAGGAGAATCAAGCCAAATTCGCAAGGAATTGAGCAACCGTTTTCCAAGACAGCAAGGCGAAATTCTAGAATGCAGTTAAATAACTGCCTCGCTATTTTCCTTTGCTTGTATGTGAGACAAAATATAAAACGTGTGCTCGTGCTTGATTGTTCTCAATCCTTTCTAGTGGAAATATTTTTTGAATCACTTTGGCGAGTTGAATTTGCTCTATCAACGTATTGACGTGAAGAGCTACTCTGCACATGAGCCCATTTCGTCGTCAACGATGCGCAACGGATTTTGGGAATGCTCTAGAATGCACGAAAATTTTCGCACTAAGGGAATTTCCTCTTCAAACACGGACCCTTAGATAGGGGCTTCCCAAATATTAGTCAACACATCAAACAATAAAAGATATAATACAAACAGTATAGCATTTATGCACAAAACTACTACAAAGACAGCTACCAATATTAAAAAAATGTTCAACATGCACAATGGGAAGGGTAGTACTGTAGCTGACGAAATTTATTTTCATGCTTTATCTAAAAAAAAACATGAAAAAAAAAATGTCAAAATCGATCGTAAAGGGTTGCTTCGCAACCAAAAAAATAGCTGAAATGTCAGTGTTGCGGTTTTTTAAAGCTTGATGCATCTGTGTACCTTTTGCAAAAACACTGACACTATTTTAAAGTCCTACTTTTAGATTAAAAAGTCACAAGTTCTAGTTCTAGTAGTCTCTAATAGGGGCCATGCATGCATCATCGTCATCATCACCCCCCTGAGCCTTTGGCTCTTCTTCCCACTCTTGAAGTGCCTCCTTCCCCCTGCCACTACCCTGCCCCTCTCTTGCTGGAGTTGCTGCCACATTGCCAAAGCGCCGGCGCTTCTTGTAGCTGCGCCAGATCTGCACCACTTCGTTGTAGTCGGGCTCGTACTCGAGGAGCAGCATCGTGATGAGATTTTCAAGACGGGCGTCTTTGAGGCTCCCACGCGGCCACAATTTGATGATGTTATGGCGGGAAAACCCGCGCCCACATTCCACTGTGCTCAGCGGTAGTACGGCGACAGCCACCCAGAGACGCACAAGGTTGGGGTAGCTAGTCGTCCAGTCGCTTGTCTTCAGCATCGCTGTAAGGCCGGCATGGAAGCTTCTCTCGGTCTTCGGGGCACCTGCAAGGATGGGGCAAAAAGCTCGCAGTTCTTTGATCGCCCGGCGCTTGTCGCTCCCTGCCGGACAAAGCAGATAAGAGATCGTTAGTGTGATTGACCGACGTGGCAGACACCTCTACAGACATAAATGTTTAAAATGTTGACACGATGTGCTTTTTGTACAGCACAGGTGCACGATCAGGACGTACCAGGAAGGATGTACTCTGTCTCCAGTGCCCTGAACAGCTTGACGAGTGACACGAGCCACTCGAGACACTACTTGTGGCGCTCTGCTCTCTCTGGTGGGTACTCATCGGGCATGAACAGCCTCACTCCCACAAGGGAGTCCAAGTCTGCAAACCTCTTGGTGAGGTTGCGCACGAGCGTCTCTGCAAACGAAGTGTAGAGGTTCACGCAGTTGTAGTGATTTCCCAGCGTTGGGTAGTCCTCGCTCGGGTTCTCGTGCAGTTTGAACGTGTGTTTAGTGGGCCGACCGTCAGAGTCCACTCCTTGCACCGTCACCTCGGGGTTGTCACTGTCCAGCCCGTACTTCATGATGAACGGGGACAGGCGCACGCTCAACCCGCCCTCAAAATCATCGCCGCAGTCGACGTAGCGGGTTGTAACGTAAACCCTAAACTTCTAAAGATAAATCTTATTATCTTGGTAAGGTCTATTGGTTTGGGTTTACTGTTAAACTGTATTATGCTTGTAGGCTGTAGTGGGGTAGCCAATATGGGGTACAACCCCAACTAGGGTTTCATATTTGTACCCAAACTTCTGCTAGTTCATCATTCTTGCCTAGTGATTCTGATATGGTATTCAGAGCAGGAGGTCCCTAGGACCTACCGACCGTTTTTTTTTTAAGGGCCCACCACCGCTCGCATGCGGTTACCACGCTACCCCGTGCCCTAGCCTCGTAGCGCCCTCGTGCGCCCACGTTAGCGCCCTCGCGCGCCCCTCGTTAGCGCCCTCGCGCGCACCCTCGTTAGCGCCCTCGCGCGCCCCTTCGTTAGCGCCCTCGCGCGCCCCTTCGTTAGCGCCCTCGCGCGCCCCTTGCTAGCGCCCTCGCGCGCCCCTCACTAGCGCCCTCGCGCGCCCCTCGCCGAGCCGCCCGCTCGCAGCCCGCCCGCCCGCTCGCTGCCCGCTTCGCGGCCCGCTCACTACGCAGCCCGCTCGCTCGCTGCCCGCTTCGCGGCCCGCCCGCTTCGCAGCCCGCTCGCTCGCTGCCCGCTTCGCGGCCCGCCCACTTCGCAGCCCGCCCGCCCGCTCGCTGCCCGCTTCGCGGCCCGCCCGCCTCGCAGCCCGCTCGCCCCGCTGCCCGCTTCGCGGCCCGCCCACTTCGCAGCCCGCCCGCCCGCTAGCTGCCCACTTCGCGGCCCGCCCGCATCGCAGCCCGCTCGCCCCGCTGCCCGCTTCGCAGCCCGCCCGCCCGCCCGCTGCCCGCTTCGCGGCCCGCCCGCCTCGCAGCGTCGCCCGCCCGCCGTGCTGCCCGCTTGCAGCGCCACCTGCCCGCCGCGCTGCCTGCTTCCAGGCCCGTCCGCCGCGCTGCCCGCTCGCAGCGTCGCCCTCCCGTCGCGCTGACCGCTTGCAGCGCCGCCTGCCCGTAGCGCCAGCCTCGCCCGCTGCTCTCTATCCGTGCACAGTCGCCTTCCCCTGCTGCGGCAGCTTGCGTTACTCTGTCACACTGTCGCTATGGCTTCCATCCGCGTGCTGTCGTTCGATGCTGAGGGCCGCCCTGTGCGGTTCACCGCTTGGCTAGATGACCTGCAGCTGTTCCTCCTGAGCGATAGCAAGGAGCATGTGTCGCTCTATGATTACGCGTCTGGTGCTGCGCCTGCCCCTCCTGCCACAGCTGAGCTTAGTGTTCGTTCCCACTGGCAGACTCGTGACGCAGCTGCTCGCCTAGCCATTCGCAGTCACCTGCCGTTAGCTGAGCTAGAGCATTTTGGCGACTGCAAATCCGCTAAGGCCCTGTACGACGCTGTCGTCGCTCGCTACTCCTCGCCTGCCACAGCCGAGCTTAGCCGCCTCATGCTGCCGTACCTGTTCCCCGATCTGTCCACCTTTACTACAGTCGCCGATCTTATCACCCACCTTCGCACTAGTGATGCTCGCCTGCGTGCCGCCCTTCCCACCGAGTTCTGCGCTAAGAACCCCCCTCCACTGTACTGGACACTCCACTTCATAGTCACCCGTCTCCCTGACACCCTCCGCTCAGTTCGAGACCACTTCCTTGCTCGCTGTCCCACTGAGCTCACAGTCGCCCTCCTAGAGGAGCACCTGCTCGCGGCCGAAAAGAGCATTGTAGCTGTCGGTGCTGCTCGTGGCGCTCCTCGCACCCCCATCTTT